TTTTAACCGAAGATTGAGACCTGACATAGTAAACTTTCTAATTGGAAAAAGCTATCTAAAGTAAAATTGTATCTCTTTGAGTTATCTTTTCAACACACTTAAGTCGCCTCAATTGGGTATTGAAAGAAAAAGGTTATAATAAAAATACTGAAAGTTGTGCAGTGCAACCAAAGCTAACGCCATCGCCTAGGCACCACATTGCTATTTTTTAACCAAAAGTTAACACATAGGCCCCACATCCAATCGCCCAAGTGCCAGTTTGACTAGATTTGCAGCGTCAGACGCGTTGTGTACAATTAGGATTTTTGATCTTTAACTAATCGTTTAAAAGCGAAATTTCAATCCAACTCTTCCAAGGACTTCAAGAAGAAATAAATACCAATTTAAAAGCCACTTTTTATGTGACACCCCGAACTTAAGTTTCGAGTGTCACGTACTAAATATAAAAACTGCTACCTTCGCTATATGTAAATACTCTTAAATGAAAGTATTACATGTTAGAAACTTATTTTCAACTTGGTAAAATATCTCTCATAAAATTTTAATGGCCAGCAGAAGCGCGTGACGATAAAATTATACTTTACATTTACGGACTCTGCTCTGCCACGGTTAGTTGGGGCAGCAAGTTCAACTATTTTTATAAAATTTATCCTAACTCCATTTTCTATGAAATTTATGAAATTAGAAAGATATTTTCAATTAGTTTTCTAGGTTAAAATATGAAAAATTTCCAAAATCATATGATATGGGCGTTTTACTGAAAACAGTGAGGTATTGCACAGAAATTTTAGATTGACCCTTCAACGTTTAAAAATTCATATCTCAGGCTACAGATATCCAAGTTGAGTGATTCTTGTGCCCATATTAAGACAACTCAATGAGGAACGCAACAATATTTTCAGAGTCTCAAATAGACGTTTATGGAGTCAGAAATAATGTTTTGAAGTTGACCCAAAAACTGTTCCGTATTTGCCTTTTGTCACTTGCAAGGAGAAGTTTTTAAAAAAATGTCTCTTAACACAACATAGAAGATATAATTGAATAATTTACTTCCGGTACCATATTACCTCATGTCTTATACATGTTTTTATACAATACCCTAAGAAAACATATGGAAAGCAGTCGAACAAAACATGCAAAAACAAAACTTCGATGCAAAACAACCTTGTCCCTAACCCATCATCGATTATGCCGACTGACTTTCACCAACTTCGCAATTATGGATCTGAAAATTTAGTATAGAATACTATGAGTATAAGGAATACTCAGTAAGATACCATGCTTGGATTTTAACATGTTAATACTACACAAAAGAATGCAATCAAACACATACTTGCACATTCCGGCTTGTCGGTGCCCTTTGGACTTGTCCTAAGGTATAAGTAGATATCTAACTTTGTGAACTTGTCCACCACATTCATATTATGATTTTTCATGCATAGCTTAAGCATAAATATTACCATGAAATCCTACCACTTAAGCATAGAAAGTATCTTACTGTAAAACTTGAAGAAAATTCGGTTGAAAGATGAATTGAGAGTGCTACGCTTGTCTCCCTTTTTTTTTCTTACGTTGAATGCCCTTTCATACAAGTGAAAATCTGTTTTTTCTTGCAAAGAAAAATAATGGCAGCAACATTTCTATTTAAAGGTAAGAAAATGATTAATTAAAGGTGACTCTTCAACCATTTTCTCTACGTGGGCTGCATGGATGCATTTCTTACTTCAATCAAACACCTATGAATTCATTAACCACCTCATGCTTAATTTAAAACAATTCATGCATTGATTAAACACCTCATGCCTGCTTGATACATGCAATACACGGCCAAGTGGAAGGAAAGAAAAAAAATACTTAACCTTGGTAATTAGGTGCAAAATTGGACATTTATCCCAAACCCCTAATTAACAAATTATTTGGAAAACTTTTAATAAATCAACCAATGCAAAATTTGGCAACTATTAATAATTTTGGCCATACTGAATTTTGAAAAGTTAAATTGCTATCCCAAAAATTAAATGAGCAAATTAAACGAGCATAGAATTTCGGAGTATTACATTTTAAGCACAATTCAACTGCACAAGAAGGAGAAAATCAATTAAGAAGAACATCGGGGGGGGGGGGGGTTAATTTAAGTTTCAAAAAAGTTTTTATTCTTCTTCCTCTTTTTGTTATTAATCATGATTTGTAGAATTCTTTCTTCTACATGAACTAAACTCTTCATCCAGGGTTTGATGTAACCAAAACTTGAGAATATGATTTGATTTATTTTAGTTATTTTCTACTAGATTTTCCAATTCTGTATATTTGTATTATTGGTTTAATGCTTTCAATTAATTGGCCACTAATTGAATATTTTGATGCTATTCAATTTTGGCACTAAAGAGAGGAAAACTTAGGCGTGATCTTAAAATAACACAATCTAAGAAATTATAGGTCTCGAGAGAAAGTATAATTCTTTTGAAGAATGTTCCACTTAAGAACCATGAAAGTGATAATTTCTAGATTTTAATTCGAAATAGAGATATTGAAATTGAAATATAGGAACAGGTTTTACTCGGCAGTCAAGAGAGTGAGTAAAATACATTAAGATTCTTACTTATAAATTTTGGAAAATTGATTAGAAATAATAATATAATTGAGAATCATATTTGATAGTTAGGTGAAATCATAACCTTGGCATTCTCTACTTCTATTCTAAGAGTTTGGACTACTCCTCTCAATATGGTAGATCTTTTAAGATGAGACTTCAAGTCTTAATAGAAGGTAGCCTGCTCTGTGCCCTAGTGTATTGACATTTCTTTTTCCTTTTCATAAATGAGCTTTTTCAGCACTTGCCAAAATTATTCTGGAATTAAGTACGTCTATAATTACAGTAATTTGGTTCAAACATGATGAAAGTGATCAGCCTGGATCTCTAATTCTATTATAGGGAATTTATTTACCTTGGAATTCTTGGATTTCATATGCACTTCATCAATTTAGGAATAGAAACTAAATTAGTCAGCAACTAGTCCAACTTAGAGGTGTGGTCATATTTGCTGTTGTATGGTCCACTCTGTAGAAGACGGATTGACCAGATAGTTATAACTTTCAGGCATTGAATGTACGAGGTTTCAGCTTTGAATGGAAATTGAGGTTGCTTACCAACATGAGTGACAGTTAGACGACTGGAAAGATGTTCTGTTTGGCTCTAAGATTAAAACTGTGATCTGTTTTCGTCATTTCGGTGGAGCTTTCTTCATGCTTATACGGATAGATAGAAATTTCACTGTCCATGGATTTCTGGTCGAGAAAATTTCTAGATCTATCCAATTACTTGTTGTTGAGTACTTTCTTGTGCATTTTTTCTGACATTTGAAAATAATATTTCATATCTTCTGAATTAAACAATCTATATCAATCTCATTAACTGCCTTTGAGCTTCAATCTTTGACATAGTAGTTTCTTTGGTGCATTAGGGAAAGAGTTCAGGTGACGAAACTTTTCAGTTTTAGACCTTTTTTTTAGCTAGTCTGATGGATCTTACACTTGCTTGGCTCTGTTGTGATTTGCTTCTACGAATGGGTCACCTATAATTCTTGGCCCTACATGTTAGTATGCAGAACCAGATGCATTTTTTTATTTTTTGAATTTCAACCTTACTCGTCAATGAGACTTGAACCCAATTCAATGACCTGGTAATGCTTTGCTACTACTTGATAAGTGTATTTTATACATTATTCGGTATCTTAAATAGCAATATTTGATGGTTCTTTTGACAAATTTATCCTAAATTGTTGTTTCTTATTTTTAATAGGTAAATTCTACGAATGAAAAGGGAATTGAAGGAATGAAGCAAAAAAGAGCGAAATCCAAAGTTGGGGACTAAGTTGTAAAAATTCAATAGTTAATTCAGACCATGAATCGAAGATTGAAGAATTTGGAGATCAAATCCCATATTTTGGAAAGTGAAGGACTTGAATTGAATCAAAGAAAAAATATGTTGCAAGAATAAAAGGGCTCAAGGATTGAATTGCATTACCTTGGAAGACAAAGGACTTGAAGAATAATTTAAGTAATAATGGCTTAAATTGATGGTTGATTGGACATCTACATGCATGCATGAATTAAACTCCTTCTTTAAGTGAAATAAAGTGGCTGCAGACACGTGTTGGAGAGGAATTGGAGTCCTTTTTAGAGTCTTTTATTTAGTCAACAAAGGTGGCTACTAGGTTGGAGATATATTTCTATATATGGACAGTGCTACTCCTACACAGTTGGGTTACAAAGTCAGATAACAAAGTGACGTGGACGGCCAGGATTAAAACGCAAGCGACGGCCGTGATTCAATTCTAAAACATTTGGGTTGAAATGAGGCGCCATACATTATCGTACATCAAAATCCCGGCCAAATTTCTCTCTCCCCCATTTCTCTCTGCAACTTTTGTCCCACTCTTCCCCTCCCAGAATGGAACCGTCCCCGAAGCAGTAACATCCGGCAGTCGGCACACCGGCATTTACCGCACCTCCCTCCGGCGTCATAAAATCGCACCTCCCTCCGGTGTCAATCGAGAGGACTCAGAGAAAAGACCGCTCTGTCACACTCAATCAGTCGTCGAGCCCACTAACTTGACGAAGTTAGATCCGATAAAACTTTAGAGGTTTGATTTATTGATGTTTATTGTTTGTGTTTTGTTCGATTTGTAGAGAAATGCTGTGAAATGCAAAATGGGTTATGTGGTTGATATAAATTCTGGGTTTGGGTTGCTTTCAGATTGTTTATTGTATTAAAGGGCTGCTGGGCTGCTGGTGTGGGGTTCTGTGTCTAATGATAGATATGCACATTTGTATCTTTTAAATTAAATTAATGTACGCAAATATGTATTTCTTTGTCTGGTGAAAGGTCTAATGGTGCGGTTTGAAAATTTTTGGTTACAAAGTAACAGTGGATGAAGTGAAGGCGAAGCTATGTCGTGTTCTGGGGGGCGGGGAATACTTTTATTGCCTTTTTTCTTTGGACATTCTCTTGATTCTTTGCCTTTTCACTTGGATTATTCGACTTTCTTCTGATTACATCTAAAAGCCGACAAGAAAAGAAAAGCCATTTTTCGATCTTCTCTGTATCAACTTTAGTTTTGGATTTTGTGGAGTTTTCACTGCAAGATGAAGCCATTAAATTCTGTATGTGCCGCTTTCTTTTTGTAATGTATTAATGTATATATTTATCTGTATATAACATGTAAATTTTCTGTTATGCTGCTTTGTATAATTGTTTATAGAGAGGTTAATTGGTTTTGTAGAATTTTACTTGTAGCTATTTGTATTGAATTATAGCTTTCTTATTCAGTAAACATAGATGCTAGAATTTGTGAAGAATTGTTTGAGTTCAATGTATGCTGATCCTATTTGGAGGCATATGGTAATTATGCAAGCCTGGTGAATATTTGTTTGCTTTGACACCGTGTATTGGCAAGCAACAACGAGACAGTTTTCTTGGTATTCCATGTAGACGAGATAGTTTGAAGTATTATCCATAATCATTAAAGAAAATTTTATTTTCTGTATGTGTATTCTTGGTTCTGGTGTAGTTAACACCAATTTATGAATTTCCCCAGATTTGGGGTATCATCTTCTCTTGTTTTAGATGGATAAACTGAATGTTACTGCTTTTGACTGATCATCATCACCGACAGTTCTGCAAAATTGAATGATCCTGACCTCATTCTGCACTCGAGAGATCAATTATTCCCTTTTTATTCCTTTGTATTTTGCTTCATCAATACAACAAGATGAAATTGAAGATGGCTCAAAAACAGTGATCCCAGATGTAATTTAATTTCATATCATTATCAGTTTTGATATATGTGACTTAAATAGTTGTAGTTTGGTTGATAGAACTTCGGCCTTTTAGTTATCTAGGCATGATGATTCATTCCAATGGAGCAGTTCATAGGCAGAGGAGTGTTACCCATGATTGTTCAGCACTACCTTCATCAACTTAACTATTGGTTCTTTACAAGTGATACAAAATTTTTAGTTGATGTTGATTAGTTATGCCCTATGTATCAATTTAAGAGATGTAATAAACCATGTGTACTGTATCTGCTCATACAATTTTATTTCAACTAAAGAGAAAAACCATTTATTTTTCCCTGTTTTCATCTGTTAATTGGAATATAAGAACAGTTCTTTTCCTGGTATTACCTCTTATTTTTGGAGCACTGTTCCCCTGTACCTGCTCATACAATTTTTGGAATATAAGAACAGTTCTTTTCCTGGTATTACCTCTTATTTTTGGAGCACTGTTCCCCTGTACCTGCTCATACAATTTTTGGAATATAAGAACAGTTCTTTTCCTGGTATTACCTCTTATTTTTGGAGCACTGTTCCCCTGTACCTGCTCATACAATTTTTGGAATATAAGAACAGTTCTTTTCCTGGTATCACCTCTTATTTTCGGATCATGTTCCCTTTCAGGCTATATTGGATCCTAAAAGTAGATCGTGTCTCTGCAGTCTCTTTGTAACAGCTTCTTTGATTTTTGGTGTTTATTTCATTGGGAGTGCATGGTTGGGAAAAGATTCCTTCAGGGTAAAATTAATGCAAATGTATTTGTAGATTTGCTTTTTGTTTCCAGTTGTAAACGGTAGAAAATCTGCTGAATGTATAGCATGATGTGGGTTCATCCCAAACTTTTACATTTAATATCAAAAATAAACATCATTTACTCTTTGATGCAGATATTACCTGGATTTGGAGTGCGTGGAGCACATAAAAATACAGAATATGATGATTGCAAGGTAAATTTGTGAAAAAATTTACATTTTTTTAGTGGAATCCATATCTGATAAATGCTAAGTACATCTTCATGCATGGATATAGGTATGAGATTCACCAAGAAGGGAAAAATTTGCGCTTTTAAATTTGGTCATATCTTGAATTAGTTTGGGATTGTAAAACTGAACCCAGCTTTCTAACTTTTGAAAGGCCCTAAATCCTTCCCATGCATCCCTTATCCTATAGCGCTTGAAGTATTTTAATGTATGTATTTACTTGTCATACATGATTCTTAAAACTACTTTTGTAGGTAGGATCGAGTGTGGACATAAAAGTCAATGATACCAAGGAGAATACACAGCTCAACAAATGCGAAGTTTGTCCCATCTACTGTCATAGTGGTGCTTATCTTGAATGATGTTTATAACTTTCTTCTGACATAGCTTTGTTTTTCTCTTAGGTGAAGTGCAGGCCTTTTGGTGGTGAGGCTTTACCAAAAGGAATAGTTTCATCAACTTCAAACTTGGAAATGCGGCCTTTGTGGGGCCCTGTTTCAGAAAATGTATGTAACTGAACTGTAACATCTTTTGTGAGTTTGACAATTGAAGGTTTTCTGGAGTTAACATTAAACCGTTCTTATAACACGAAAACTTTATGCAATCTACTATTTGCTCTCAAAAGATATAATTCTTCTTGTGAGTTGTGTGATTCTATTCAACTTCTTGTACTTCTCTTATTACTACACACGTGAATCAGGAGAACTCAAACCACGCAAAGAATTTGTTGGCAATTGCAGTTGGGATTAAGCAAAAAGAGTTGGCAAACCATATTGTTGGGAAGGTAATGTTTATCATTATATTTCGGTTACTACATCGAAACTTTATCTGTAACATAATTTTTCTCTAGATTCACTTCTTATCATTTCTATACATGAACCAAAGTTTGGTGGCTTCATCTGGTTGCAGTTTGTGGGAAATGATTTTGCAGTGATGCTTTTTCACTATGATGGTGTTGTGGATGAATGGAGCGACTTTGAGTGGTATGGGAGAGTCATTCATGTCTCTGCCACAAACCAAACAAAATGGTAAGGTCCTTAAAAATGTTCTTGGGCTGCAGTTAGGTTTTTATTTCTTGATAGTATGTGGTATGAAGTAGTCAATAGGACTGTATTATATTATAGGTATGATTTTGGCATCTTTTCTTTTCGTATTGTGTCCCATACAATCTAGTTCACCTGATGAGTAATGAATGTATACAGCTTATTGACGGTTATAAGACCTTATTCTATGGCATAGGTGGTTCGCCAAACGTTTTCTACATCCTGATATCGTTGCTGAATACGAGTATATTTTTCTGTGGGATGAGGACCTTGGCATCGAAAATTTTCATCCAGGAAGGTATATGTCCTTGCACTCGATATCTGTGTAATCAAGCTGGATTTATAACTGGTTATTGAGGTGCTTAGGTTATAGTATTCTTGTGCAATATCTGTATTCTTGCAAGTGTGTCTAGTTATTACTAGGATCAATTACATAAGTCCAAGCCTCATTGATTCTCAGAAATAAGTTCTCCGTTAGAACAATGATTGAACTTGTCGAGGAGAAAGTTAGTGAGAACTGAGAACAGACTGTGAAAGTATGAATCCTAAGACATGACGTGAATAATGACACACCCATGATGGACAAATGAATTGATTACAATCTGAGGAATAATTTCTCTCAGTATATATTTTACGACAGTGAAATCCTTTATTCCAGTGGATTCTCCAAAATATTATGCTCCTGTTTCTAAACAAAGGTCAAGGCAAGAATATTGTGTGCTGTGACATTTTCTGATGCTACAGATTACGTGATAGGTCCTGTTGACATTTCCATTTAGTCTTCTGTCAATCTCTGGATGGTAATTTGTGGGAAATGCAAGAATGGCAAATTAATGTCACTTAGTAATAGTACTCGTTTACTAATGAAACTTTAATCAGAATTTTGTTGTAATAACATATCTTTACAGGTATCTATCCATTATTAAAGAAGAAGGTCTCGAAATTTCACAGCCTGCTCTTGATCCTGGTAAATCAGAGGTGCATCATCACATTACTGCACGTAGAAGGAGATCAAGGGTGCACAGGTTAGATAATTTTATTGTTACAAGAATGACTTGCATGTGTTGGTTACGTTTGGAGCTTGACACTGCTGAATTTGCTAAATGAGCTAGGCATAGTTAAGGTGCTGAGATGATTCACACTTCCATGTTTTAAGCCTTTTAAGTGTTAGTATTTCAAAAGAATCTGACCACGTGCTATGATTGACCCTGGAGGATATGTTAAAGTCATAACTTATGTTTTGTAAACATTAGTTTGGACTCTTTGTTCGAGTTTATCTTATTAATAATAACAGTTATGTATATATATTCCATGTTTAATATATTTTTTAATGCTTTGAATAGGAGGTATTATAAATTAAAAGGTGGTGGAAGGTGTGATGATAACAGTACCGCTCCTCCTTGCGTAGGGTAAGAATCTGACTATCAGTTCTTTTTCTTCATCTTCTTGTTCCTCATAAAGCCACTGTCTTCTGTTTGAATCTGAAGGGGACTATACTTTACCCAGGTGGGTCAGGCGAGGTTAAAACTTTGAGCCATTTGGTTTTCATTAAAATACAACTTACCCGTTGGGTTTACCTCATGGGTTATTTTCTTAACTCCTCATATGGGGAGGTTATGTTATGCTCTTTAAAACCCGAGGAAAATGGGAATTTGAAATCAGAGTGTTGTTTCTCACTCAGGCTTACAACATTTTAGAAGTGTTCTGATTTTGTAGAAGCTGAAATGGTCCTAGTGTGGGGTATGTTAACGGGTCCTGTAAATACTATTAGAAGGGTACAGTACATTTTTCTTACACAAAAGTTGTGTGGTGTAGTTGGGTTGAAATGATGGCTCCTGTGTTCTCAAGAGCAGCCTGGCGTTGTGCTTGGTATATGGTCCAGGTATATAATCTTTGTTCTATCTATTATTTCTACGGAATAAATGTGATAGATCAAAATATGCTGAATGTGTCTTTTTTCAGGATGTTAAGTATTGAAGTAAGCTTCCGTTAAACTGAAACAGTTGCTGAACTTTTCAAATTTTCACACTGAAGTCCTACTATATTTTTTTTTCAATGTGCAAAATTTAATGGAAAACTGCAAAAATATTAACTTAAAAGCACGCTCAATATTTTCAGAACATTCCATTTGATCCACTTTAATATTGCAAGTTTATGTTCATGCTTTTATGAAATATCCAATTGATGGTCCTTAAGTTTGACTAGCGGTCGACCAATTAATTGTATCAATTTGTTTTATAATCTCCATTATCCATTAAAATCTTGTACTCGATAATGATTCAGCTTATTGTACTTAATAATTGTATTTGGTGATTTCAGTATGGTACTTATGTTACAGCTAGCTTCTATTTTCTTGATATGCTCTTTTGTTATATATCTTGATCTTTTCTGGAAATTAATAAGCATAATTGTATACAGAACGACTTGATCCATGCATGGGGTCTGGATATGCAGCTTGGTTATTGTGCACAGGCAAGTAACCAACTAGAATTCAATTCTGCTTTGTCTGAGCTTCTTCCTTGAATACATTGATTAAATAATATTTTTATCACAGGGCGATCGGATGCTCAAAGTTGGTGTGGTTGATGCGGAGTATATAGTTCATCTGGGTCTTCCAACCCTTGGTGGTCTTTCAGATGAACACAAGGCAAGTAAATGATGCATCCATTTTCTGCCCCCGTCTCTAATTATCAGACCTACAAATAGTACATCTGTTCAATAGGATATAATGGATAGTTGAGCACTGATTGATTCCATAAAATGCCTCTAGTCTTGTAATGTTTTCTTGTTGATCTTGTATTTGAGAGCATAGTTCATTAAGTTTAAAGGTCCGTTTGATTCTCATTTTATTAAAATACATTTTTCTCTCTTCTTTTTAACGACACATTCTTCATTAAAATAATATTACACGTAAATAAAAAACTTTTCCTTATTTTTCATCCACACATTCTCCATCAATTTACTATTTTAAAATTCATTTTTTCATAAAAATGGGGCTCAAACACCTTCTAAAAGTCTACTTATGCCATGCCACCAAATTACTTCACGAGCCAAACTTCAACAGAACGACAACCGAGAAATATTAGAAGCAAAAAATTGATACATACCCATCCGGAGGAAATGGTGGTCACAGACTGCAATCTCGACCTGCCGGAGGAAATGGTGGTCACAGACAATACCCCATTCTCGGTCTTTTCTCTGAGTCCTCTCGATTGACGGCCGGAAGAAGAGAGATTTTATGACGCTGGAGGGAGGTGCGATTCTATGACGCCGGAGGGAGGTGCGGCAAAATGACGTCGGAGGGAGTTGCAGAGAGAAATGGGGGAGAGAGAAATTTGGCCGGGATTTTGATGTACGATAATGTATGGCGCCTCATTTCAACCCAAATGTTTTAGAATTGAATCACGGCCGTCGCTTGCGTTTTAATCCTGGCCGTCCACGTCACTTTGTTATCTGACTTTGTAACCCAACTGTGTAGGAGTAGCACTGTCCTTCTAGAATAGTAAATTTTTAGAGAATGTATAGTTAAAAGTAGGAAAAAACATTTGATTGACGAATAATTTATTGTGAGAATGTATGGTTGAAATGAGTATGAGAAAAAAAATTGAAAAAATAGTTGTCAAACGGGGAGGGTGAATTTTTTTTAAAAAATAGTGGTCCCTTCATGGGTTAGACACATCACAGAAAACAAAAAAAAAAAAAAACAAAAAAGGAGGAGAAAGGGGATTTGAGAGGCAGCCAATTTATTATATTTGACACACTTTTTGAGCCTGCAGATATATTCACACACACGTTGAGAATTTGGGAGAGAACACACGACAGCCAATTTTATATATTTTTTATACAGAGTTGAGGCTGAATTTTCAAGACGCACAGAAATCAAAGCAACAAAATTAATTAGAGGGCTGCTGGGATTTGTCTTCTGCCATTAAATTCACACGCACGGAAAACTAAAGGAGAGAGAGAGGGAACACAACATATTCAATTTTACAATTCCTCAATTAATCTGGTGATGTCTTTCATATATTCTTGTTTTTCTCTCAATAATATGCGTAGTTAAATTTAATTTTAGGGCGAACAATGTAATCTATTTGGGACCTTTATTTTTTTTATTTGAGATTTTTGTTCTTTTACATTTTATGTGTGAATTTTAATTACATTTTTAATACTTTGAATTTTCTGGTCAATTATTCAATAATTTCGTGAACAATAATTACGTAGATATGCATATTCTTGTTTAGATCACATATTAAAATTCGGTAAATTAATATAACGTGTAGAGATATATATATTAATTGCTGCGATCCTATAAAAATTCTTAGAACTGTTATTTCGTTTAATTAAATTTAACTTTCATGGAGATATGAAATTGAATTAATTAAATAGGCTCAACGAGAATTCGACAGGGATAAGTTCAATACAATAGAAGAATTTGATCGAACACTACTTTAGTTTTATAAATCTCGGTATTAGAAATAAAGGTGACCAATAGGTGAATTTGTTCCGCCCTAGCTAATCCCCACTTATTAATTGAATTCTCACTAATTTTCTGTTGCATTCACGAAATTTTTAGTAATTAAATTTAAAAATCACATTTAATCACTTTTTATTTATTTATTTTCATTAAATAGAAATTATGAATAATAAATTGAGTACTAAAGTATAGTTCTTGTGGAAACGATAATTCGGAGTCAAAAGATTCACTTTACTATTTGTTACGATCCGTCCACTTGCGGGATAAAATCGACAACAAGTTTTTGGTGCCGTTGTCGCGGACTATTATTTTTAGTTTTAATTAATTAATTAATTTTATTTTTCTATCTTATTTTTAATTGTTATTTGATTTGCTTATTTTCTTTTATTTATAGAAAACTGTGTTCGTTGTATGCTCTGTGCCTAAGGCGACGATTTTGAACCGTTTGATTCGGAAATAGAACATACCTTCAGACGAAGACGTAAGGAACACAAACAAAAACAGCAATATCAAATGGCTAATAATCTAAACAATCCTAACCCTATACAGCCAATTGGACAAATGGCCGCGAGAGCTCAACAGCAAGAGCAAAGGGAAGTAAATGAAGGGGACTTGCCAATTTCTATGTTTTTTACTCCTATAGCAGCACCCGCGCGGTCCAGCATAGTATATCCAGATTTTGGGGTAAACAACTTCCAGATACGGGTTGATTGGATTAATTTGATAAGCAACACTCTGCAATTCTACGGGTTACCTCATGAGAATCCAAACACACATCTCAAGGTTTCCCTGGAATTGCCAGAATTGTCATGCTCCTAGGGTTAATGAGGATGTCATCAAGCTGTGATTATTCCCATATACACTGAGAGATGCAGTATTGGAATGACTGGATGTCGAACCGGATGGAAGTATTACCACATGGGAGGAACTGACTAGGAAATTCTGCAATAAGCTCTTTCCACTAGCTAAGGTAGCAAAAATCAGATTAAAAATTCAAACTTTTCAACAAAGAGGTGGGGAAAGCTATCACGAGGCATGGAACAGATTTAAGGAGTTGATGAGGAAGTGTCCAAATCATGGGATCACTATTGGAAATCAAGTGCAGTATTTCTACACAGGACTTTCACCACTGTCCAAATCTCAAGTGGATTCCTCTGCAGGTGGATCGATCATAGGAAAATTAGTGTAACAATGTATGGATCTATTTGAGTTTATTGCTACTACTCATTCCATGTTTTCATCGGAAAGAGTGATGCCTCCAAAAGCAGCGGGAATATATGAATTAGACAGCACATCATCTACCAACACCCAAATAGCAGCATTACAAAACAAATAGAGTTATTGGTGTAGTCACAAACAAACGGAGCACATAAGTGGTAACTGGCCCATCTTGCGAAAACTGCGGGGCAAATCACCTAACAAAAAATTGCACATCTATGGGCTTTTCGGAGGAACAAGTTAACTTCATTCAAAATGGTTCTCGAAATTTTAACCCTTTTCACAAACATATAACCCAGGATGGAGACAACCCCCAAACTTCAGATGGTCGGATAATCAGCAAGAGAACAATTCAAACAATGCACAACATGAGAAAAAATCAAGTTTGGGGGAGATGTTCAACCAGTACATGCAGAAGACAGACAAGATGTTCCAGCAAATTGACACTAACTTTCAGAATCAGCAAGCATCCATTAAGAAACTAGAAACTCAAATTGGTCAGATTGCTAAACAGCTTGCAGAACGCCCAAAAGAGACATTGTCAGGAAACACAATGATCAATCCAAAAGAGAAAGTACAAGCTATTATGACTAGAAGTGGACTGCAACTTCCAGAGATACATGTGAAGAGACCAGACAGAAAAGATAAAGAAGTAATGGGTGAAGAGGCTGAGACAGAAGCAGAGTCTGAACAACCAACTAACGAGGAGGATAAAAGGAAAAAAACACCCACAGTGAGAGCACCCAGCCCCGTGAAAGCTTATGTGCCACCAATTTCCTTTCTTCAGAGGCTACAGAGAAAAAAGTTGGAGAAGTAGTTTGCCAAGTTTGTAGAGATTTTCAAGAAATTGCACATCAATATTCCATTTGCAGATGCAATAGCCCAAATGTCTAGCTATGCTAAATTCTTGAAGGAGATCCTGTCTAACAAAAGAAAGCTGTAAGAACATGAGACAGTCTACCTGAACAAGGAGTGCCTTGCAATTCTATTGAAAAAGCTACCTCCTAAACTAAAAGACCCAGGGAGTTTCAGGATACCTTGTACAATTAGTTCTAATTATTTTGAACATTCTTTATACGATTTAGGTGCCAGTGTTAATTTAATGCCTCCCTCTGTTTACAGGTCTCTTGGATTGGAAGAAGTAAAACCTACAACAATCTCATTGCAACTGGCTGACAGATCAATCAAACGATCGAAGGGGATTATTGAAGATGTGCTAGTGAAAGTTTATAAATTCATTTTTCCAATTGACTTCATCGTATTGGACATGGAGGAGAATTCAAACATCCCTCTAATCTTGGAAAGACCCTTCTTGATTACCGAAAGAACGCTAATTGATGTTTACGATAGAAAGATGATTCTTTGGGTGGACAATGAGCAAGTCATATTCAACATGTTCAAGGCAATGAAATATCCACTGACTTCAGACACCTGTTGTCAAGTAGATGTTCTTGAAAAGTTGATGGCAAATACATTTGATACAGAGCATCAAACAGTTCTTTGTGAAGTAGAAATTGCACAATCGGGAGCAACAAGTGCAGAAAAAACCGAATGTGTTGTCAACTTGGCTAAGCAATCAATAGGAAGAAGACATTGGCAGTATAAATCTCTTGGTGACAACCCTTCACTCTCAGTACCTTCAGTAGAAAAGGTACCCACTCTTAAACTAAAGCCCTTGCCTTCACATCTCCGTTATGCATATTTGGGAGAATCTACAACACTTACAGTAATCATTGCAAATGACATGACAATTGAAGAGGAGAATAAATTGTTGGAGGTACTCAAGCAGCACAAAACGGCAATTTGATGGACAATAGCTGACATCAAAGGAATAAATCCAACTCTTTATATGCACAAGATTTTAATGGAGGACGGGTCAAAACCATCAGTGGAAGGACAACGCAGATTAAATCCAACCTTAAAAGAAGTAGTGCGAAAAGAAGTACTGAAATTATTGGATGCAGGTATTATCTATCCAATCTCTGATAGTTTATGGGTGAGTCCACTGTATGTTGTGCCAAAAAAGGGTGGGATCACAATGGAGAAGAATGAGAACAACGAGCTGATACCAATACGCTTAGTGATAGGGTGGAGAGTATGTATAGATTACAGAAAGCTAAACAATGCAACCAAAAAGGATCATTTTCCATTATCATTCA